CCCACTCCACAGGCCCCCGGAGACCCCAGGACCCGCGAACGGACTGTCCTCTGTGGACAACAGGAGAAGGTGCAGCTTCAACGCTTGCCCTGTCTGCCCCCTCCTCGCTGTACTCTAACTTTCAGCGTATCCAGGCCTGGATGGATAAACTCAAGAACCCCTCTAAAGATGCTGCTGAGGCTGTGCCCAGGCCAAACCATGCGTGGGGACACTTGCCATCAACCCATGGGAGAAAAATTACCATGAGTCACCTGCATTAAGTGTCCTGGGACCCGCCTTTTTTTTGTTTTCATTTGGCAGCAGCACGTGGCCTCTCGCAGTGTGTGTGGAGCTGCCTGGTCAACTCTCAAGGCAACGCGCAGCCACCTCTGCCCAGATATGCACAAGAGAGACCACTGGCAAAGCCTGGCGCGCCCTGCAAAGCAAGGGTGGATTGCTGGGGACGCGCAACGTGGCTTCGCCGCACCCTCTGGCTAATGCATCTCTGCCAGGCACTGAAGAGGCCGATCATCTCCCACGAAAGGGGAATGGCAGGGAATGTCGCTGTTCTCAGAAAGCAGTTATGTTGAGTGTATTTTGGGTATTTTACTGTTACAAGTTCTTAACTTGCTAAACTACTGAATTATTTTTTTTAAGACGTATAAAAATGGGTGTCTCAGTTCTGTCCCTCCTGAGCTACATGTGTCTCTCATAGGAAACCCACGGGGGCCACTGCTACGCTCCATGTTAAAGCTTGACTGCTACAGCAGTGCTGGGACACGTCGGGCTGACTGACCAGCACGTGCGTCCTCCTCCCCATCCTGCTCCAGCACTTCTTGCTAAAAAGGAGACATCTGCATTCCTGGAGGCTGAGCCACCACCAGGCTCTTATGTCTGAGATGTGTTTCCCCAAGGAAACGGCAGCCACCACCGGGGAAGGGCGGTGAGGGGGAAACACCACTCACCAGACCTGAAGCACACGCTAAAGCTGGCTTCAGAGAAGAGCACACTTTGCCCCCTGCAGCCCTGCCACTGGACGTAGGCAGCTCGAACCGAACTGGGTTTGGGAAACTGCATCAGGCTCTGGCTGCTGCATTTTGTTGCCTTCAGCAGAGACAGACGCAGCAATCCCTCCCTTTGCCAGCTGCAGGCCGTGGTGGTCCCAGCGCTGAGGGTGGCTGGCTCCGCTGCTCCAGAGAAACAAGCTGCAAAGACTGTTTTTTTAATCCAGATAAATGGTTCCTGTGCACATCTCACGGGATCCTACGTGGCCTTCTCCCCCCAGTCTGGGAAGCAGTTTTATCTCCTGTCACCCACCCCAGAACTCCTTTCTGAGCTTGTCCCAGCAAAGCAGCCACAGCCCTGCAATTCCTGGTGACACTGCTAGGAGCTGGCGTCTCTGCCACCAACAGCTCTGCATCTGTAGGGCAGTTTCAGGTCAGGTTTTCATTCCCACTGTATGCCTACGGGCAGCAAACACTGAACTACATTGGTGATGCTCTCCAGTTAGTTACTGAAATGCGCTGAAGCCTGGGCAGGCAGGAACCTGAGGGTGAGCGGGGAACGCTGGGCAGCCAAGCAGGAGTGAAACTAGAGGCCTAGCCTAAAAAAAAAAAGCAAGAGGTCCCAAGGCTTGGGAGTGCCTATCACAAGCAGGTCAGCTCCATGCTCAGCAGGATTCTCTGTTTCTGCCTGCAGCTGGGAAGGAAACCCTCCACTGTAGCTCTCTGGAGGGGTCACTCAGTGCTCTTGCCTCCATCTGCCCCGAGCTTTTTTTGCTTATCCTTAAACTGGGAAGTTACTTTCTTGGCAGCTGTTATTCTCCACTTGGCAATCAGCGGCCCAGCCTGGCACGTCCGTATTCAGGCGAGTGATGCCATGTGCTCTCTGACATCTGCTCAGCTGAGAGGTAGCCTTCTCAGACCTGCTGTTTTCCCTTGGATTGTCAAGCTGAGCTAAATGCCTGTGCGCTCGTTTAAGCCCCTGAAGAGGTAACGGGCAGTGTTGCAAGGGCCAGAGCCAACAGCTCCGCCTGCCATCACCACCACCAACCCACCCCCTCACCAGCAGCCCCGGCTGAGGTCAGCTGAGACCCACAAGTACATCTCACCCCGCTGCAGGGAAAGCCACTCCTGGAGGGGAGGATCAATCAATCACTAGAAGCGTGCTAGCAGCGGTGGCCTAGAGGAGGTGGAGTCTCTCGGGTGTCCCCGCGACGCTGAGCCATGGGGTTTATGAGAGCCCCTGGCAAACCAAGTGCCTAAGGGCTACAGGAACATCTCTAGTGCCTTTTTTTCTGCTAACTAAAATGCTGCGTGCCTCAAAAACAGTGGCCAGTTAGCTTAAGAAATGAGATGAGGCAACACCTGAAGTGCGAAGGCCGGCCCTACCCATGTACAGCTCTTTCACAGCAGAGCAGCACCGGGCTGACAGCAATCCCTGGTATCAACAGGAGAGGGATCCACAATGCAGTTTCTAGTGTCTTAAATTGCAATAGCATCTTTTGTCTTATTAAAGCATATCACAAAGCATATGCCAGTTCCACCAGCCGCCACACAGCAAGGCAGAAATGAGTTCAGAAGGGTCTTGTAATTATTAAAGGGTCACAGGATTGCTTCTAAGCCTGCGGAAACAGCTTGTCTCCCCCCAGAGGTGTCTCTGCCCTCACTGAAGACATGTTCCCCATCCCCAATCAGTAACAAGAGAGTTAACAATCAGGCCTTTACCTGCGTGAGACGGAGGGAGCTCTGGGCCGATGTCTCCAGCCGTACAGCTTGGGGAAAACCCTCTCTTTCTGCTGGAAACTAGACGCTTCATCTCTCTAGACATTCTTGGCAGGAAGGAAGACAAACGTGGAAACGAGGCCACTTGCCACGGTTTGGCTGTTTCGGAGTTTGTTTCAAAAGCAAATTCACAAACATTCTGTCCTACTGTTAGAGCTTAAAGCCTGTAAATAGAGACTATGCCACCACTGCAAGAATTTAAAAAAAAAGAAAGTAAAGCACTAATTTGTTTGGTTTAAATGTTGCTGTCACAGCTTTAATCACTGTATATTGCCAGCAAGTTTGTAGAGTTGCATTCCTAGCAGGTATTATTGATTATTGGTTTTTATTTGTGGGGAACAAGTGTGGTTTCCCTCCTTTCTTTCTGATTTATATTTATATTTTGCTGAATTTGAGTGCCGAATCTCCGGATTCCCCACTTTTTTGTTTGGCTTATTTAGACTTTGTTTTATGCTGGAGGTAAATACGCCCATATAAATAAATATATAAATACTGCTTTGTATCCAAGGTCGGCTCCTGGCGCATTCCTCCCTTGCTACGAAATACCAGTCTGTCAGTTCAGTAGCTATAAAACTGCTTCCCACAAGAGGGAGGAACCCTCGCGTCTGCCATCAGCAGGAGTTTCCAGACATGCCCACGCAGGGCCTGGGCAGGGTCGGAAGACCCCCGGCCCATGGCTGGTCACCGCTACCTAGCGTCCTTTTGAACAGGTATAAAAAAGAGCTCTCGTTGCTCACGCCTCAGAGGTCAGGGCCAGATCCAGAGGCATCTGCAGCGGGGAAGCTTCCTTCCCAAACAGGAAATCAGGGCTTTGAATCTGTGGAAGCTACCTGTTGAATTTCTGATTTTGAAGTCTAGCTGCTTTGAAAGCTGGGCTACAAATTCAAAGCCACCTATAAAGATACAGTTATGCACGCCATAAACTCTTTTATAGGCAAGGCAGTTAATTCAGTGCTCAACTGAAGGGCACATCCAGCTACAAGATTATTCTGTCCTGTACTTCTCTAGCTTTCCTCCCAAAGCCTCATTTCCCACAAACACAGCTTGTATCACCTGCCGTGCTGCCCACCAGACAAGTGTTTATTCTTGCTTTGCATCCGAGGAGCCACACCAGCGTGTTACCTGGGACCGCTGTC